TTTGTTTGTTTGTTTGTTTGTTTGTTTTTAATGTGTTTGGTACAGGGTCTCACTATGCAGCTCGGATTCGTAGTGATCCTCCTGTCTCAGCCTGTTCAGTGCTGGGATTACAGGCATGCGCCACCACACCAGGCCTGGGTGGCTCAGGCGTGTGGTACCAGGGATGCAACACCAGTCTCTGGGAGTCAAAGTTGATGCAAACTTTCTGCAGAAAAAAATAGCAACTTGAATTTTTTAAACTTTAAAAAAGCACCATTATTGGATTATTAGAATGTAAGTATGTAAATCCAAATGCAAATTAGAGTATATTTTTAATTGATTAAATGAGTGTGTAAACATAAATACAAAACAACACATTATAAGTACTGTATAACAAAAACACAGGTCAAACCATAGAATAGCTCAAGCTCATTTGAAATGCCCTTTTTGTCCTCTTCCAATCAAAACACTCACCTACCTCACAGTGACACCCATTATCATGACTTTTAATAATATAATTTTGCCTATTCTGTACATTAGTTTTAATTTTTAGTGTTTAAATTTTTTGTTCATTTAGAAACATTATATTTTCTAGTTTTTAAAAAATAGCAACAACAGCAGCAGCTGCATGCATACATATGCTTCCTCAGTGAGGGTTTGATCCCTAAAAGACATTTGTGACACACATGTTTGCAAACTTGCACCAAGATTCTTAGAGGGCAGTTGGCAAGTGCATCTCACATTGCAATTTCCTTAAAGATACCTAGTGAGTTCCTGCTATACTACCTTCAGGGCACTGCTGAATTAGCAGTTAAAAAAAAACAGTTGGCATCCCTGCTTACGTGGAACTTGGCATGCTAATGGATTTCAGTAGTGATGAAAGGCCCCAGGTCTCATCCATTTCCTGTCCACTAATTTGCCAAAAAGTTTTAAATACACTGACTTTAATACAGAAATAGTTTGTTTGTATCCCATTAATGGATTGGAGCCTCCTTTTAATTGTCCCCATCTTAGTTAAGGGAAGAAAGCAAGGCAGTTTTATTTTGCTCCCCTTGGCTGTGTCTCCAAGGAGTGTGTGCCTTCTCTGTTGCTGGGCCACCAGCTTCAGCATCCACAGAGTTCTTCCTGAATATCCGGCTATTTCTAAACCACCACATCCCATCAAAGCTCAACTGTTGAAAAACCATACAAGGCGGGATGGGAACAGAGCATCTAATCCCTGGATCACCCTGCCTATACCTACTGAGCCTTCCAACTTTTCTGGGTAGTAAACTTGTGTGTGTGTGTGTGTGTGTGTGTGTGTGTGTGTGTTTTAGGGAAGGGTCTCACTACTAGATTGAACTCGGAGCCATCCGCCTATTTACAGCCTCCCAAGAGCTGAGATTACAGGCATGAGGCACCATGACCAGTCTCAAATGCCTTCTCAGCGTGCCCTGGGCACATTGAACCCTGGCCCCTGCACTTTAATCCACTGAGCTATTTGGCCAGCCCTGGGTAGCTAGTTTTTGGACTGTTTGTTTTCTGTGCAACTTCTCTTTTTCCCCTGTAGGCTTGAGGTCAACCCCAAGATAGAAGAATTTTCATCTATATATGGTAGAGGAAACATTGCAAGATTGAGTCCAAAGATGGTTCTTAATATGCTACAGAAAGAGGCAGTGCTTTAGAAAAATCTTTTACCTTTTTTTCTTTGTTTGTTTGTTTGTTTTGTTTTTGACTATTGGTGATGAATCCAGGGTCTTTAAAATATATCCCCAGATATGCTTTATGTGTTGTTTGTTCGTTTGTTCTTTTTTTTTTTTTTTTTTTTCAGAACTGGCTAAGACACTAAATTGCCCATGCTGGGCTTCAACTTGCCATCATCCTGTCAAAGTGCCAGGTTTATAAAAAGGCCCCATCATGTCTGGAGTAGCCTCATTTTTAAGCCCTAATATTCACAACTGTTGTCTTCCTGGAAGACTAGAAAATAAATGGAACAAAACTTTGGAGAAT